AAAGCTGTTTGTGAAACTGGAGGCTGATATCCAATGGTATTCCACAGGAATCATTGTTTTAGTATGTTATTGATTGTGACATTGAAGAAAATATGAGGGGAATCATAAGTAAATTTGTGGATGACACAAAGATTGGCCAGGTGGTTGACAGTGAGAAAGGAAGGTGTTAGGTTACAGGAGGATATAAACAGATTAGTGAGATGGGCAGATCAGTAGTAGATATAAATTAACCCGGATAAGTGTGAGGTGCACTTTGATAGATATAACAAGACAAGGGAAGACTCAAAGAAGGACAGGACACTAGGAAGCTCACAGGAATAGAGGTATCTTCAGATCCCTGAAGATGGCAGGGCAGGTTAATAGGGTAGTTCAGAAGGCATTTGGGATGTCTGCCTTTATCAGCCATGAGATAGATTATAAGAGAAGGGAAGTTCAGTTGGAGCTGACAAGGACTTTGGTTGGACCACAGTTAGAGTATTGTATGCACAGCAAAGTTGACACACTACAGGAAGATGTGACTGCACTAGAGGGGGTGCAGTAGAGATTGGCCAGGATGTTGCCTGGGATGGAGCATTTTAACTAAGAAGAAAGGCTGGATAAGCTTGCGTTGCTTTCTTTGGAGCAGAAAAGACTGAAGGGGAGCCTGATAAAGGTGTGTAAGATTATGAGAGGAATGGACAGTGTGAATAGAAAACAGCCATTCCTATATCTTGAAGGCTCAATACTAAGATGCCTTAATTTTAATGTGAAACGCAGGGCATTGAGAGGGGATTTGATGCAAACAAATTCGTTCAGAGGCTGGTGTGAATCTAGAATGTACTGCCTGGGAGATTCGTAGAGATGGGTAACCTCACAATTTTTAAGACGTACTTGAACAAACACTTGAAATGTCATCACATTCAAGGCTACGAGTCAAGTGCTGGAAAATGGGACTGGTATACATTTAGAGCAGTTTTTGTCAGTACAGATTCAATGGGCTGAAGGGCCTCTTCTGTATTTTATGGTTCTAAGTAATAAATGGTGGACAGGAACGGTCTGCAAATGTGACATTTTGAATTGATATATACATAGGGGAAAAAAAAACCCAGTACTTCAACATGAAGAGAAGGGAAAAAGTCATTTGATCCGTTATGCTTTTGTGATCTCTAAAATTGTGATGAAAGCAATTGTCAAAATTTATGCAAGTGACCTGTTCAATCGCAGCACCGTGTACCATCTACAAGATGCAGTGCAAAAACTCACCGAGGCTCCTTTGACAACACCTTCCAAACTCCCAGCCACTATCGCCTGTAAGGACAGGACAGCAGGCACATGGGGTCACCACCACCTGAACGTTCCCCACTAAGCCGCTCACCAACCTGCGTGGAACTATATTGCTGTTCCTTTAGTGTTGCTCCTGAACAGTACTGCAGACTGCAGCAGTTCAACAAGGTGGTTTGTCGTGAGGTTCTCAAGTGCAACTGGGGATTGACAATAAACGTTGGCTTTGTCAATGATGCCCCTATCCCACAAATGAATTTAAAATCAGCTGATTTAAACAAGAATTACTACCCTGTTTTGAGAACACAGTAAGACAACAGCTGGGTAGAACTGAATTATGAGCTTGGCTTGGTTGAACCTGTAGCTTTCTGCAGTTCACAATACATTTTCTATTGGTTATTTCATAGTACAGTAGTGTTGCTGAAAAAAGTCACATCTTATCGAAGATTTTCATCTTGCACTCATCACGGTAATTCATGACAATTGTTAGTATAAAGGGAAAACTAGTTTCCATTATGTGCAAGTGCACCACACTGAATATCTGATTACCAGTCTTAAATTTGTTGTCCGTGTAATTCTTTGCACACAAGATTATTCTGCATGTTGTCCAAATGTGCAGTCACATCCAACGTTGCTAACAGGATTGTGAGTTTAGCCAGCACAAGCTGGTTGGATTGGTTGCAGAATGCCTGATTATAGTGTTGCAATGCAGATATTTATAGCATCCTTGAGTGGTACAATGGTGAACAGGCAAGCAAGGTCAGATAATCACATGGACACTGCTTCAATTTCTATGACTTCACAAATGTGAACTGTCCTTCACAGTATAAGAATATTGCTTTCCCTATAGAGATAGTAGGAACTGCAGATGCTGGAGAATCCGAGACAACAAGGTGCAGGGCTGGATGAACACAGCAGGCCAAGCAGCATCATAGGAGCAGAGAGGCTGACGTTTCGGGCCTAGACCCTTCATCAGAAAAGGGGGAGGGGAAGGGGGTTTTGAAATAAATAGGGAGAGAGTGGGAGGCGGATAGAAGAGGGATAGAGGAGAGGATAGGTGGAGAGGAAACAAACAGGTCGAAGAGGCGGGGATGGGGCCAGGAAAGGTGAGTGTAGGTAGGGAGTTAGGAAGGGGATAGGTCAGTCCAGGGAGGACGGACAGGTCAAGGGGGTGGGATGAGGTTGGTCGGTAGGAGATGGAGGTGCGGCTTGAGGTGGGAGGAGGGGATAGGTGGGAGGAAGAACAGGTTAGGGAGGCAGGGACGAGCTGGACTGGTTTTGGGATGCGGTAGGGGGAGGGGAGATTTTGAAACTTGTGAAATCCACACTGATACCATTGGGCTGCAGGGTTCCCAAGCGGAATATGAGTTGCTGTTCCTGCAACCTTCGGGTGGCATCGTTGTGGCACTGCAGGAGGCCCAGGATGGACATGTCGTCTGAGGAATGGGAGGTAGAGTTGAAATGGTTCGCGACTGGGAGGTGCAGTTGTTTATTGCGAACCAAGCGTAGGTGTTCTGCAAAGCGGTCCCCGAGTCTCCGCTTGGTTTCCCCGATGTAGAGGTAGCCACACCGGGTACAGCGGATGCAGTATACCACATTGGCAGATGTGCAGGTGAACATCTGCTTGATGTGGAAAGTCTTCTTGGGGCCTGGGATGGGGGTGAGGGAGGAGGTATGGGGGCAGGTGTAGCACTTCCTGCGGTTGCAGGGAAAAGTGCCGGGTGTGGTGGAGCTGGAGGGGAGTGTGGAGCGGACAAGGGAGTCACGGAGAGAGTTGTCCCTCCGGAAAGCAGATAAGGGTGGGGAGGGAAAGATGTCTTTGGTGGTGGGGTCGGATTGCAGATGGCGGAAGTGTCGGAGGATGATGCGTTGGATCCGGAGGTTGGTGGGGTGGTACGTGAGGACGAGGGGGATTCTTTTTTGGTTCTTATTGCGTGGACGGGGTGTGAGGGATGAGGTGCGGGAGATGTGGGAGACACGGTTGAGGGCGTTCTCGACCACCGAGGAGGGGAAGTTACGGTCCTTGAAAAACGAGGACAACTGAGATGTACGGGAGTGGAATGCCTCATCCTGGGAGCAGATGCGGCGGAGGCGAAGGAATTGGGAATAGGGGATAGCATTTTTGCAGGAAGGTGGGTGGGAGGAGGAGTATTCTAGGTAGCTGTGGGAGTCGGTGGGCTTGAAATGAATATCGGTTTCTAGGTGGTTGCCCGATATGGAGACAGAGAGGTCCAGGAAGGGGAGAGAGGTGTTAGAGATGGTCCAGGTAAACTTAAGGTTGGGGTGGAAGGTGTTAGTGAAGTGTATGAACTGTTGTCCTCGTTTTTCAAGGACCGTAACTTCCCCTCCTCGGTGGTCGAGAACGCCCTCAACCGTGTCTCCCACATCTCCCGCACCTCATCCCTCACACCCCGTCCACGCAATAAGAACCAAAAAAGAATCCCCCTCGTCCTCACGTACCACCCCACCAACCTCCGGATCCAACGCATCATCCTCCGACACTTCCGCCATCTGCAATCCGACCCCACCACCAAAGACATCTTTCCCTCCCCACCTTTATCTGCTTTCCGGAGGGACAACTCTCTCCGTGACTCCCTTGTCCGCTCCACACTCCCCTCCAGCTCCACCACACCCGGCACTTTTCCCTGCAACCGCAGGAAGTGCTACACCTGCCCCCATACCTCCTCCCTCACCCCCATCCCAGGCCCCAAGAAGACTTTCCACATCAAGCAGATGTTCACCTGCACATCTGCCAATGTGGTATACTGCATCCGCTGTACCCGGTGTGGCTACCTCTACATCGGGGAAACCAAGCGGAGACTCGGGGACCGCTTTGCAGAACACCTACGCTTGGTTCGCAATAAACAACTGCACCTCCCAGTCGCGAACCATTTCAACTCTACCTCCCATTCCTCAGACGACATGTCCATCCTGGGCCTCCTGCAGTGCCACAACGATGCCACCCGAAGGTTGCAGGAACAGCAACTCATATTCCGCTTGGGAACCCTGCAGCCCAATGGTATCAGTGTGGATTTCACAAGTTTCAAAATCTCCCCTCCCCCTACCGCATCCCAAAACCAGTCCAGCTCGTCCCTGCCTCCCTAACCTGTTCTTCCTCCCACCTATCCCCTCCTCCCACCTCAAGCCGCACCTCCATCTCCTACCGACCAACCTCATCCCACCCCCTTGACCTGTCCGTCCTCCCTGGACTGACCTATCCCCTTCCTAACTCCCTACCTACACTCACCTTTACTGGCTCCATCCCCGCCTCTTCGACCTGTTTGTTTCCTCTCCACCTATCCTCTCCTCTATCCCTCTTCTATCCGCCTCCCACTCTCTCCCTATTTATTTCAAAACCCCCTTCCCCTCCCCCTTTTCTGATGAAGGGTCTAGGCCCGAAACGTCAGCCTCTCTGCTCCTATGATGCTGCTTGGCCTGCTGTGTTCATCCAGCCCTGCACCTTGTTGTCTTGCTTTCCCTATACATTGGTTTTCTTCAAATGATCCCCAGATGAGTACAATACAAAAAGCTACATCAAAATATTGTCTTCCTTTGGCGATACACAAATTCTTTGTTCTTAAATATGATGTAAAAGAGCTGAAACATTATGACATTTTAATGAAATTTTTCACATAATTTGGTTGGGTGCGCGGGCAGTTTTGAACATTTCATGTGAGAGAAGTTGTTTCTGATCCAACTGATGCTATGAGAGAGTGGAAAAATTTTTGATGCATTCCTACCTTGCACATCCATCAACCCATCCAGGTTAGGCTGTAGGGGAGTGAGGTCTGGTTGAATGATGTCAGCATTGCTGGTGTACACTGCAGGAAATCATAACAGAACCACTGAGAAAAATCACTGCACACAATAAAAAAAGATTTCGACAGCAGCTTTCTCACACTCGGGGTATCCCAAAGCCTTTCACAGCCAAAGAAATGCTATTGAAGTATAGTCAGTCCAATGGAGAGAGATGCTCTGGTCTTTCATGGACAATGTCACAACTGAGTTTGGAAGGGTGAACCGATTTCTTTCTTTATCCCACTTTTCCTGTGCTTACAACGAAAGTTGAATTTTTAAAAAAAGGCCATGATGTTGTCAATTACGTCAAACTGTAAATTGCTCAGAATCAAAAACAAATCAATTAGGTTCCTTAAGTAACAAATACAAAACTAGACTATTGCAAACAAAACTTCTTTAAATAAAGGTCATAGGATTATTAAAAACAGATTTAAACTGTGCTCATATCTGCAATTAGTCTTCTTGAAAAATAACACACAACCTTTAAATCTGGGGGAAGAAATAAAATAACAATGCGTAGGGTTTTATAAGTACTTTGGCCAAGTTAGTTAGATTCGGAAAAAAATTGATAATTCACAGCATCCTGAATGCTGATGTGTAGATGAAGTTACTTCGCACACTGGCTGATAACATTGGAGAGTATTGCAGGATCAGTTATAGCTGTCTGAATTCACTTTTCTGGAGACAGTGCTGCAGACCTCCCCCTTGAGAAAACCTGCATTTGTGGTGATAAGTATTATATAAGGTAATGGTTCTGAAAAAAATCAATGGTGAAATTACATTATCTCTACCAAAGCTGATCATGTCACACACAGACTTCGGATGGAAACAAGACGTTACCCTTAAGACAAGCCTTAATTGGAAAGGGATGTACTCTGTACTGTTCCTGAGACTCCTCAGTAATTTTAATAAATCAAAGAATTGTGGATGCCAGAAATCTGAAATAGAATAGAAATCGTTCGATAAACTTAGCATGCCTGGCAACATCTGTGGGGAGAAAGCAGGGTTAATGTTTCAAGTCTGGTGATTGTTCTGAAGAAGGATCACTGGACTCAAAATATTGACGGTTTCTCTCCACAGATGCTGCCAGATCCGCTGAGTTTCTCCAGTAATTTCTAACTGATTAGTAATATTGACTAATTGCTATCATGTAATAAACTATTGAGTTAACTGAGACAAATGCTGTTTTGTAAAGACTCTACAGAGATGTATCCTCTACCACTGATCATTGGATAGGCCCCAGATATACTACAAACAAGGGAAGATTGGTTGCAGTGTTTAAGGTGAAATGGGAAAGATATAAAAAGGATCTAAGGGGCAAAATTTTTCACGCAGAGGGCAGTGCATGTATGGAATGAGCTGCCAGGGGAAATGGTGGAGGCTGGTACGATTACAATATTTAAAAGACATCTGGATGGGTATACAAATAGGAAGTGTTTAAGGGGATATGGGCCAAATGCTGGCAAATGGGAGTAGATTTATCTAGGATATCTGATCGGTATGGACAAGTTGGACCGAAGGGTCAGTTTCCATGCTGTAAGTCTCCATGACAGTGAGTTACCTCAAACATCCCTTACTCTGCGACATACCGATAGAGGTGGCAGATAGCATGAGGGGCCAAACAATACCTATTGGGGAAATACATGGTAACAACATTATAGATTTGGTTTCCGATCAACCAGGAGGAGAACCAAACTTTTTTTAAGGAAAGTAAATGTACTGCTTTCATTGCCAAAGAGAGAGCCTGTACTAACTATAAAATCAGCACGAGGGCAAGCTTAGCACTCCAGAGATAAACATTCACCAAGAAGTTATTAAGACATGCAGGGGGAAGACTGTGGAATGACAAAAAGAGAAAAAAAGGCAGTCACACTTAAAAAATCAGTAAGCACTGAAAAGGATTGGAAGCCACCTTGATCATTAAAGAAAATAGGAAAAGCCAGTCTGCAGCACAGAGATTCAATATTATAAAGAAACAGAATATTTGAAATCACTATAGAACTGCCACTGATACATTTTAAAGCATTGTTGTAGAATTTGATATATCATTACAATGGGGCGGCACGGTGGCTCAGTGGTTAGCATTGCTGGCTCACGGTACCAGGGAACTGGATTTGATTCCAGCCTTGGGGAACATTCTCCCCATGTCTGTGCGGATTTCCTCTGGGTGCTCCAGTTTCCTCCACAGTCCAAAGATGTGCGGGTTAGGTGGATTGCCATGCTAAACTGCCCATAATGTCTAGGGTGGGAATTGCAAGGATGGGGTATGGGGTGGGATGGTCCCTTTTCAGAGGGTCGGTGTAGACTCAATGAGTCGAATGGCCTGCTCCCACACCGTAGGTGTTCTATTCTAATAGAATTTAGAAGCATGAGCAAACAAAGAAAATTACTATGCAGCACCTAGCAAGTTCTACATTACTGAATTTAAAACAGCATGATGAATGCAAGAATACTGGCTTAAAGAACAGCAGATTAAAAGCAGCATTGAAATACTATAGATCTGGAACAGATTTACTGGAAGGAGAATTAATAAATACATATAGAAAATAATGGAGGTAGATATAATATTCAAAAACTCAAGGTCAGAGCAGTACAAAATTCAAAACCGGACATCGTGAAAGCAACAGTTCTTAAGGTACAATATTGCTTCAAAAAATATACACAAAGTCTGAAGCTGAGCAAGTTAATTCACAATTATATTCAGTGGGCTCGGTTGTAGATTATATTATTAATCAGAGGAATGTTAAAGAACGTAGATATTTTTGAAAATGTCCAAACGTTTTTGATAATTTATTCATTCACAGGATTTGGGCATCGTTGGCTAGTTCAGCATTTATTGCACATTTCCAAATACCCTGGTGATAGTGGTGATAAGCTGCCTTCTTACACTGCTACAGTCAATTTCAGAACAAAAACATTCTTGAACAAACAAGATTTAATGGAAGAATATGGTTTCTAGGGATTCCACAGCTAATTCCATAAAGGATCTCCAGAGATCAGCAGAAAGCTGAAATAAGGAGCTTTTAAATCAGAATTGTCGGAATTGTTGTTAAAACTTTGTCAGATTTCTTATTGCTTAGAGACTATTTAATTTTGTAAATGTTAGTCACATTGTGCTGGGAGCAAAAACCAGAGAGACTCTCAAACAGATCCTGAGAGGGAAGATTGACACTATCAAAAAAAGGGCAAAGAAAGAGTCTGTTCACTTTAAATGGTGTGGACACTCTCAATAGGCATGCAACAAACCAACATAGAGAGTAAGCCAAACACCAGATGGTGAGAACCACTGTCAGCACATGGGACAAGACCTCACAGGCGCAGACAATACACACATAACAAAGGAACAATACATTTGCAAAACTATAGGTCACTTCCAGAATGATGTGCAGAAAACACAGTTTAAGAACAATGGAAGTGCCAGTGGTCACCCACACAAAGATGTCTATATAATAGCGCACTCAACACTATTAAAAAATGATATCGACATTAGTTACCTCCATTGGAGAAGGTAGCCAGGAGTTTCCTAGAGAAACCTGCTGATCCAGAAGACACAGAAGTTGTTTATATCCGTGAACATCCTATTAATTTAAAGCTTGATACAGGGTGAGCATTTCTACCCTACCAGACCAGTTATCATGGCTAAAGCAGCAGAAATTACTGCTGCGCCCACCACCTCCACAGCCAGCAGCTCCAGAGGAGACAGCAACACTCAGCCCTGCCGAGTCTTCACCATCCCCCCAGACCTCCCCTTTACTGAGGACGAACGGTCAGTCCTCAGTAAAGGGCTCACCTTTGTCCCCCTCCACCCACGCATCAACGAATACCAGTCACGTTTGGACATTGAGCAGTTTTTCCGCCGCCTCCGCCTCTGCCCTTACTTCTTCAACCGTGAACTTAACCCTCCCTCTACTGAACCGTTCTCCCGCCTCCAACACACCCCCTCCTCCTGGACACCACCCCAAGGCCTCCTACCCTCCCTCGACATCTTCATCTTCAACTGCCGTCGAGACATCAATCGCCTCAACCTCTCCACCCCTCTCACCCACTCCAACCTCTCCCCCGCAGAATGTGCAGCCCTCCGCTCCAATCCCAACCTCACCACAAAACCCGCGGACAAGGGAGGCGCACTGACCTCTACATCGCCAAGGCCAGGCGCCAGCTCTCTGACACCTCCTCCTACCGCCCCCTTGATCATGACCCCACCCCCGACCACCAAACCATCATCTCCCAAACCATCCACAACCTCATCACCTCAGGTGACCTTCCACCCACAGCCTCCAACCTCATCATTCCCCAACCCCTCACCGCCCGCTTCTATCTCCTTCCCAAAATCCACAAACCTGACTGCCCTGGTCAACCCATTGTCTCCGCCTGCTCCTGCCCCACCGAACTTATCTCCACCTATCTCGACTCCATTTTCTCCCCCTTAGTCCAGGAACTCCCTACTTACGTTCGTGACACCACCCACGCCCTCCACCTCCTCCAGAACTTCCAATTCCCCAGTCCCCAACACCTCAACTTTACCATGGACGTCCAGTCCCTATACACCTGCATTCCCCATACAGATGGCCTAAAGGCCCTCTGCTTCTTCCGTTCCTGCAGGCCCGACCAGTCTCCCTCCACCGACACCCTCATCCGCTTAGCCGAACTTAGTCCTCATCCTCAACAACTTCTCTTTCAATTCCTCCCACTTCCTACAGACAAAGGGGGTGGCCATGGGTACCCGCATGGGCCCAAGCTATGCCTGCCTCTTCGTAGATTACGTGGAACAATCCTTCTTCTGTACCTACACTGGCCCTAAACCCCACCTCTTCCTCCGTTACATTGATGACTGTATCGGTGCTGCCTCGTGCTCCCACAATGAGCTCGAACAATTCATCCACTTCACCAACACCTTCCACCCCAACCTTAAGTTCACCTGGACCATCTCCAATACTCTCTCTCCTTCCTGGACCTCTCTATCTCCATCTCCGGCAACCACCTAGAAACCGATATCCATTTCAAGCCCACCGACTCCCACAGC